GGGGTTGGGCTTGCAACCCAATACTGATCACACGGGCGAGCGAGGGAACAGAAGTTTCTGTATGGAAAAGCTCATAAAACTCCACCATCACGGGGACTATTGGATGAGAGGCTCCTCCTGTGGCTACTGGGGGGGACAGAGATCTGAGCATCGGGGGCTCTGTAAACCACACTGACACTCCCCAAATGTTCAGGATAGGAAGCCTTCTTGGGTTGCAAGGACATTATCCCAGCTGGCTGTGTCTCCCCTTCAGTATCTGAATCTCCCTGATTTGTATCTCTGCAGACAAAACAATGCAATCCTCAGTAGATCAGGCGGCCTCAGTAGATTCATGAATCTCCCGTCTCCTGCTGTCATCCCGATGCACATTCTCATGGTTGTGGTCTCTGTGCATGTATTGCGTCTTTAAGCTCACGGATATGTCAGCTCTGGAGGATGGGACGTCTCCTGTCAGACGAGAGGCCCTGAGTGGAGCTGTGAGATCCCTGGCCTTGGTGGTGAAGGAGGGGTGAGGGCATTCATCCCTCGGGGCCTGAGGAAGACTGGAACTGGAATAATCGGTGACGTTCGGCGGGCAATTAGCAGCTCATCAGATGTTAAACAGGACATGCTGCGGATTTCTGAGGGTTGTTTTTTTTTTTTCCCCAAGTGGCAGGAAATGTTTCTGCTTGTTGTTCTGTCTGCATTTTTTTGTTTTGTTTTTGTCTTTCTCTTGGTGGAGTTTTCAGTCGTTTTTTGGTTTCTCGTCCCCAAAAATTAGTGATTTTTCACTCGAGCAGCGAGTACATTTGCCTCCACGTCTTCTGAAGGAGAGAGAGCTACCACAATATGGTGACTTAATAAGCGGAAAACATCGTGGGCTGCAATCATCCTTCCATATTTTTTATCACCGTGCAGAGCTGGGGAATTCAAGAGGGGAAAGCTTGACTCAGGTGGTCAGGACCAGTCGGGGATGACAGGTTGCGTCGAAGGCCGTCCTCAGGTTCGGGACCTTCCAATGTTGCTACGCTTTACCTCTGTTTCTCAGGCTTGTCTCTCATGGTCCTCCAGAAATATGTTTCCTCTGGCCGCCCGATGGGTCACTGTCCTGTAAATGGGTGCAGACGTGTCCCTGAAATGCCGCAAAGCATCTCCAGGACCTGCCAGCGGCCCCCTCCGCTCCGTGTTTCGCTTGCTGGGCAGCTACAGCCCCGTGTAATTACTATAAATGGAAGGTTTCTTTGGTCAGAAATGCTTTTTTGGTTTCTTTTGTATTTTCATGACTTTGTCAGTGGTATTTATGTTCCCCGCTTTTGTGGAATTGCTGTCGTGAAGGCGGACGCTCTCATGTTTGTCTGGAGGCGGCCTGGATCCTTCGTGCTTCTGGGGCCCACAGTCCTCTGGCTGTCGGGCCCCTCCTCGGATGGAACCATTATTTCAGTAAAAAAAAGGCTCCGGCCCTTGTTTTTGCAGATCTGTTGCATACCAGCGTGTTTTTAAAGTCTGTGAGATACGTGCGTCGTTGCCTCTCGCTGAGAGAAGACGTGCTTCTCCAATCGACCATCGCGGCCTCCTTGCTCACCATACCGAGTGACTGTTTGCTTGGGTCGCAGCACATTGTCGACATTTATCGTCCCAGTGCTGCTTGATGCATTTAAACCGCTTAACTATGCAGTACGTCCCATTGAAAGCACCTGCAAGCTGCCAGATTCCAACTGCAAGGGGTGAGATGATATGATATTCTGCTGGCTGCCAACTGTCTCGGCGGAAGGACACGTCTTCGAGACATGGCGCTAAAATAGTGCCAGGCTAATTTAGCACATGTAGTGTGAGTTGGTTTTGGATCTGTGTCCACGTTTGGAAAGTCGTTGGTTCACGGCCCTTAAGCTTAACTGCTCCAGGTGCTCTGGAATCTGGCTGACCCAGTTGTCAGGCTTTCCACTCGTGCGTGATCCATTGGACACTAAATAGAGGTAACGTCATGCTAGCATTATGCTAAAGTCTCGCTAGCTTCCTGCTAACGTTGCGCCGCCTTGCGCTAGCGCTGACCTTAACGAAAGGGAGCTGGATGCAGGACTGGAGCGTCTGAGCTCACCGCTAGGCCAGCGAGCCTGGAACCGAGCAGACGCTGGAAAGTCAGACAACAGGCCTGCCCCTTCCAGCATGGCCCCACGCAAGAGCCCATTCCGGGCTTGTCCTGCTCGCTTCCAGCTCTCGCCAGGTGTTTGCGGCTGGAGGCCAGTGCTTGCAGCTGGGGAGCATTAAAGCGATCCCAGAATAACGGAAATAACAGGCACCGGCTGCCCACCAGTGTGTCACCGCTGTGAGGTGCCACTAATTACATTAATTCTGAATGTCTGCAGAGCAAATTTACTGATGGAGCTAAGTGTGTTTGGGGGGTGGGGGGGCCTGTTTTTAGCATCATGTGTGTTCATAAATCATTGCACATTGTTGGTAAATGTAAACACATATGACACTGTTTATTAAATTTTAAATATAAATAATATAATAATAATAAATAAATAAATAAGTTGTCATGTGTTGCAGGAAAAACATGATTCGTTTGGGGGGGGGGTGTTTCATTACAGTGAAATCTCATGAAATAAATATTTTGTCCTGGACTCAAGACTCAGATTAGGTCTAACCACAGTTGATCTTACACACTCAGGCTTCCTCACTGGACGCGTTTTTGCATGGACGACACTTGGCCTGTGATTCGCTCCCTGCTTCTCGTCTCTGATTGGAGGACGGAGACTCTGCTGTTACATTAAACTGCTGTTTTGCTGCTGATTGTTGGATGTGGGAAAAGCAAAAACAAAAGAAAAGAAGAGAAACGTGGAAGGGAATAATATATAATAGCAGGAGCATATAAACCTGGGGGGGGGGGCGCATACTGGCAGTATTTATTTGGGTTGTCTCATAAATAGAAATTGAGACAGAGACTGAGAGAGAGAGAGAGTGGGATGTATAAAAAAAGGTAAAATAAAAAAAAAATACAAATGTAACCTAATAAAGTGCAAATCATTACTAGTATTGTGCAGGCAGTGTGAGTAATGAGCAAAGGATACATTAGCAGCTTTAAATTATTAAGCTGCCCCCCCCCATTAAGGATCTCTCTCCTATGCTCTTGTCTCTGACCCATGGTCATGTACAGTATTTGGCTTGAGTATTGAGTGTCTTCATTGCGAGTAAATAAATAAAGTTGCAGCCATTTTGTCTGAATCTGCCCTTTTGTTCTCCTTTAGAAGCCGTCAGCGAAATGGAATTCCTTGACACGCAGTTTGTTGTCACGGTTACGTCTTTAATGATGCAATAATGAACTTGACCTTGACCTTGAGTGGGAAGGCTCATGTCGGTGGCAGGTGCCCGCCCCCTGAGCAGCTGAAGACAGCGTGATTAACGGCGGTTTAGGGCAGTTAATGGCGGTTATCAGTGCTTAACTATTCACGGTGTTCACACCAGGTCAGGACAACCCAGACAGCCTAAGACATCGATACAACTTCATCGCCGACGTGGTGGAGAAAGTGGCTCCCGCCGTGGTTCATATTGAACTCTACCGCAAGTAAGGATCTCGCCCCCCCCCCCCCCCCCCCAAGCAAACACACCAGCGTGCCGTCTTCTGAACATATGGCGTCAGTGATGTCACTGGCCAGCTGTCCTGGCGGGGCCCTTCGGAAACAAGCGCGAGGCCCCTCCGATGCATGATGCATAAACATCACCAGCATGTTATTTTGCTTGAAAGATCCTGGAGTCTCTGTTATTTCAACATCCTCACCGGTTCATTTAGCCAAGCCTCCGCGTAAAAACCCAGCAGGAAATACTTTCAAAGGACCCAGCCAGTAGGAAAATGCTACATGGAATACATCTTATATTGTGGCTGTAGTTTTATTTTGGTCCAGGTTTGGTCATTGTACACATCCCTTTAGAAATACATTCCTAATGCAATAAAAATTTGATTGCAGTATTTTTAACTCTAACCTTTTTCTTTAATATCCTCCTGAGACCCAAGGAAAAAAGTGTCCTTCAATTTTAGGATATTTGTCTTTGGAGGAAATAAGACATCTTACGATTTTCTAATTTATTTTTATTTTTAATTTGACAGCATGTCCTCTTTAGTGTACAACAGGAATAAATATGTTTCCTTGCATCAGTGAAAAGATAGATGCAAAAACAAAATGTCCACTGTAATGGACACAAATGAATGGGTGTGGTCTCAGGAGGTTATAATAAAGGAAAATATCTTGCATCTACGTTCCGCATGTCTGCCGTCATGGAATACAGTCAATTATAAGCAGGATGTTGTTGTTTTTATGGGGGGGGAGATAAGTGTCCCATGGAATAGACCGCAAGTCCTTCCCCAAAAGATCAGCATCACCAAGTACATGTGCTGAATGTCTGAATAAGCAAACGATTAGTGTCAACTTTGCATGAGGTTCCTCAGGCCTCAGAATCATTCTGGATGTTTCTGTCCTGGGAAAGTAGGAAGAAAGCCTATATGCAAAAAATATAAAGAACAACAGGGATATGTTAATATACGGGGAGGTAACCCTGTTCCTGGTAACTGGTTATGGATGGATGGATGGGTGGATGGATGGAAAATAAGGTGCTCAGAATTTGTACTCGAAGCAGTTGAAGGTAGAGGCTGTCTCAGTGTGTCTATGCGTGACACCCCCCCCCCTCCCCCACACTCACTCAGGATGGTGTTCTCCAAGCGTGAGATGGCTGTGGCCAGTGGCTCGGGCTTCGTTGTGTCCGAGGACGGGCTCATCGTTACCAACGCTCACGTGGTGGCCAACAAGCACCGTGTCAAAGTAGAACTGAAGAGCGGCGCCACTTTTGACGCCAAGATCAAGGATGTGGACGAGAAGGCCGACATTGCCCTCATCAAGATCGATGCCCCGGTAAGGCCTCGCCCATCTCACGTGAGCGAATCAGCACACAGCAGGTTGGAATCACAACCTGTTTCTACTTTTCTTTTAAGTTTTTATAGTGCAATGAATTTGTGTGGAAATAAGGTAAATTTATTGTGGAAACTGCCATCTGGCCTTTATCGGAACAATTTAGAGTTAATCTGCATTTAAGAAATCTGTTGGAAAAAACATTCAGAGGTTACATTCTTTTGTGAATATTTCCTGATGGGCTTTGTGAGATAAACTGCTCTGCGGCTCTTATGTTATAATACTGGGAGCGACCCACTTGGCTAATTTTGTGAATTTTGTTTGGCAGTGAAAATCAGGATTAATCAGAGCATTATGAAGTTGACGTGATCTCACAGGTCGCAGGGGATTAATATTCCTGTTCACTCATTTCCTGAAGTGCAGAGGTCACAGCGGGTTTGCTTTTCAAGACCCAGGTTGTTACCGGCCGTCAGCAAATCCTGCGTCAGTGCCGTGAAAAAGAAAATATCGGGGGCAACCAGGGACAAGTCCGGGGGGGGTTGGTGTTGACGGCTTGCCTTTCCAGAGGGCAGTTTTTGGGGCTGTTGACAGAGAGGGTGTGGTGGAGCGGTGGGCCAACGTTTAATTGCTTGAACATAAGAAGTTTACAAACGAAGGGGGGCCATTCGGCCCATGAAGCTCGCTTGGGGAGAATTCAACTGACCGTAGCTTAAAGTTGTCAGAATCTTATCTAGCTCTGATTTAAAGGACCCCACGGTTTTAGCTTGCACTACACTAACAGGAAAACTATTCCATACTCCAGGGACGGATTACGGACCGGGCCAGCGGGGCCGCTGCCCAGGGGCCCTTGGGGTGCAGGGGGCCCGTGGGGCCCCTAGCCCAAAAC